TTCCTTGGTCTCCAAAACCACTGCAGATGGTGACTGCAGCCATGAAATTAAAAGACACTTGCTCCTTGGAAGAAAAGTTATGACCAACCTAGACAGCACATTAAAAAGCAGAGACATTACTTTGCAGACTAAAGTCCATATAGTTAAAGCTATGGTTTTTCCAGCAATCATATATGGATGTGAGAATTGAACCACAAAGAAGGCTGAGCGCTGAAGAATTGATGTTTTTGAACTGTGGCATTGGAGAACACAAACACCCGATGCTGGGAAAGATTAAAGGCAGGATGAGGAAAGATTGAAGGCTGATGAAGGGGACCACAGAGGATAAGGTGGTTGGATGGCATCACCGACTCAATGGACATGAGTTTGAGCAAGCTTCAGGAGATGGTGAAGGGCAGGGAAGCCTGGCGTGCTGCAGTCCATGGGGTCACAGAGTCGGACACCACGGAGTGACTGAACAACAAGGATAATTCAGTTCTTGGGTTGAACAGCAGGCTGGGGGGTAGTACCACCCCACCTTTTTATGATGGGACAACTTAGGAAGGACTGGATTTGGGGTGGGGTGGAGGGAAGTTAGAACCTAGTTTGGACTATGAAATGCATTCAAGTGGAGATGCTGTTGTTGTTTAGTCACTCAGTTGTCTGACTGTTTGCGACCCCATGGACGGCAGCACACTAGGCTTCCCTGTCCTTCACCATCTCCTGGAGTTTGCTCAAACTCATGTCCATTGAGTCAGTGATGCCATCCAACCATCTCATCCTCTGTCATCCCTTTCCCCTCCTGCCTTTAATCTTTCCCAGTTATCAGGGTCTTTTCCAACGAGTCAACTCTTCACATCAGGTGGCCAAAGTATTGGAGTTTTAGCTTCAGACTCAGTCCTTCCAATGAATATTCAGAGTTGATTTCCTTTAGAATTGACTGGTTTGATCTTGCTCTCTAGGCACTTTCTTTTTTTTTTTTTTCTAAGGCACTTTCAAGAGCCTTCTCCAGCAGCACAGTTCAGAAGATCAATTCTTTGGCGCTCAGACTTCCCTAAGAGAGTGGAGATGTTAGGTAGTTAAATGTATCAATCTAAGTCTCAGAGGAGAAATCGCAGTCAGAGATAAAGATTTGTAATTCATCAGACAACAGATGAAGACTATGAAGCCACAGCAATGGCTGAGACCCATAACAAGAGTGAGTGAAGGTGAAGACAAGAGGCCCAAAGACAGAACCTTGAGCCAACTGCCATTCAGAGTTGGTGGAGGAGAAGGAAAGTGAAGGAGCAGAGGTGAACAGGATGAAAACCAAGGAAGGTGGCATCAGAGAAATCCAGAGAAAAAGCTTCTTCAAGGAGGAGGTGGCCAAATGTGTCAAATGCCCAGAGACTGAGTAAATGAGGCTCAAGAATTGACCTTTGACTCTGGCAAGATGTAGGTGATACAGACAAGAGCCATGTTTAATGATGGGGACAAAGGGCTGGTTGGAGCAAGACAAATTGAGAACAAGAGGGATGAGATGATCAAGGGAGGGTTTCTCTAAGAAGGGTCATAGGACACAGTGATGCACAGGTGATCATGATAAAGGTCCAATAATGAGGGAGAAACAGCTGACACAGGAGTAACTATGAGAGCAACGTCCTGAGATGCTCTGAGGGTGGAATCAGCTGGAGGTGTGGAATGCAGTTTCCACTGTAATCAAAGGTGGTGGTGGGAGCAGGGACAGAATTGGGTGGTTCTTGTGTGATTGCATCCATTATTTTCCTCTGAAGTCTGTGGTGCCATCACCACCTGAAACCGAGGTTGCAAGCCTGGGAGATTAGAGTAGAATTAGTTATCTCAAGAGGAAGTAAAGCTTCTATGGTATTGAGGTTTGTAGTTTTGATTTTGAAGTGGGTCCAATCACACAGGTATACTGGTTCTTGAGCACAGCTGGATCCAGTCAGGATTTGGGATTTTTCCAGGTGAGTGCAATGGATACAGAAGAGGACAAAGGAGGGATCCAGGACTCCAGGCTGGGTAAGGGCAGTGAGGATGTAGCTGATGGTGCTGCAAGGGGCTAAGGCTGATGGCTCAGAGGTCTCAGGGGGCTCAGAGATTCGCTGGTGTGGGGTAATACAGTAACTGAGCTGGAGGAATAGGAGGATCAGGAGGTGTGAGGGTTGAAGTTACCGGGAATGACAAGATCAGGTGTGCCCATTTGAAGCTGTGGCCGAGTTGTGGTTGGAATCAAGGAGGGCCTCTGAAAACTCTTTTGTGATTCAGCTGGTAAAGAATCCACCTGCAATGCAGGAGACCTGGGTTCGATCTCCGGGTTGGGAAGATCCCCTGGAGAAGGGAAAGGCTACCCACTCCACTATTCTGTCCTGGAGAATTCTATGGACTAGGCAGTCCATGGGATCGCAAAGAGTCAGACACGACCGAGTGACTTTCACGTTCAAATCTCTTAGCTTCTCAGCCCCTCCCAACCTGGGAGTCAGAGGGCAACCTCCTACCAGGAGGGAAGGGGTACATCTCTTTATTGTGCAAACCAAGGCTGAGGCTTGGAGATGCTGGATGCTAAAGCTAAAATGTCAGAAGCTGGAGTTCTGACTCTGAGTGCTAGGCTGAGGGAGGATTCTTGGTGTCAGCCCTCCTCTTAGCTTCCACAGCAGCCGAGCCCCTGGCTCCCCCTCCCAACTCCCACCTGCTCCCTGCCTCACAGCCTTTCCTACATTCCTCAGTCCTCTGGGGAATCTCTGCTGACAGAAAAGCAAGTCCACAGCCACAAGTAGCACCTTCTTGGAGCTAACCAGGCTGCACCCAGCACTGAAAAATGTTTGTGGCAGACTTTCATGTTTGCTTGCTCACTCACTCACTCACTTAGTTAATCATTCATTCACATACTAAGTGGTTCCACCTTTCGGTTATTTTTCATTAGGTTTGAGCTGCTAAACTCAATCACTGTGAAACTGCTCATCCCCCCAACCCACCAGCCAGACATCCAACATATACCGAGTGCCCATCACAGTCCTGCATAGGTGTGACAAACAGACATCATATGTCCTCACGTCTGACAAGTCCCATGTCCATCACTCACCTATTCCCTGGGTCCCATTCATGTCATGTGTGTGCTGTGTCTGAATCCTTTGAGCCTCTTCCTCATACCAGGGTTAATAATACATGAATTGCCATCTATCAAAGTTCACATGATGTGTCTTTATTAACCTTTAAGGTTGCCTATATATTGCATTGGAGAAAGCAAAGGCAACCCACTCCAGTGTTCTTGCCTGGAAAATCCCAGGGATGGCGGAGCCTGGGGGGCTGCTGTCTATGGCGTTGCACAGAGTCGGACACGACTGAAGCGACTTAGCAGCAGTAGCAGCAGCATATATTGCATTAAAGAGATCTTTTTAAAATTTGTGAAAGTCATGCTTGCTCATTGTGGAAAATGTAAGCAATGACAAAACATACAAAATAAAAAACCTCCCTTAAAATTGACTACTTCCACTCCTCTATCCCACAGTGCAGACCACTGTGAAAAGTGTGGCCAGAGTGGTTTAATTCTTATCCTTCAGTATCTTTTCTATACATTTACAAAGGGGGAAATATATATAATAATTATATGGTGTAGTGTATGTTTACAAATTGAGGTCATAGACTATTGTTCTGCAACTTGCCTTTTCTCTGTAACAATAAATGAGAGACATCTTGCCAGGTTGGTTCTTCAGATCCACTTCATTCTTTTTAAAGGCTGCAGAGCGTTCACAGTATGAAGGGACCTGGTATATTGAACAGGCTCCTATCAGCAGACATTAAAGGTATTTTCAATAATCCCCAGCTACAATGCTGATGGACATCTCTCTGAGCTCTTTTATATGATCATTTCTGAAGGATCATTCCTAAAAGTGGAATTGCTGGGTCAAGGGCATTTTAAATTTTAATGGTTACCAGGCATAGTGCCATAGTGCATAGTGCCAGACACACAGTAGGGTCTTTGTAAGTGTCTGTGCAGTGAATGGATACTGCCGGACTGCCCTCCAGGAAGAACACACCATTTCCACTCCCACCAGCAGCAAACAGAGAGGCACAGTACTGACCATTTCTGCTACTTGAGCCCAGCCAGGCTGGGCTTCAGGATAACCACTTTCCTCTAGGCCACTCTGCTGCTGCTGGGAAGGATTTAAAGCCCCTACATCACCTTCAAAGAAAGGCAGGCACCCTGGTAGGTGCCTCCTCTTCCAGGTCTGCAAAGCCCATGGCTTAACATCCTCCCACTGGGGCGGGTGTTTACCACAGTGAGGGCAACCATGTGGGACTTCTCTAACGGGCGCTTCCCATGTTTACACAAAGCACCTACATATCTTCCTTCTGCTCCCACAATCCACCCCTGAAACGGAAGGGAGACTTCCTGTGACTGGGCTCACTCTAGCACCAGCTCCAGAACCATGTTGTCTCTTTCTAACTGCTGTTCTTCCTCTGGGTCCCTGTCTCCAGCAGGAACAGTCCCTGTCCCTAGCACCTTGGGGGCTGGCTGTGCCATCTCCCTGCCCCTGGCCCTGTCACCTGTCTAGGACCTGGGGCCCCAAGAAAGGCTATTATTGGGAGAGGCCTGCAGAAGGAATCCCTACCAGCACACCAGGGCCAGTTCTACCTCCAACCCTCCCAGGAACACTGGCCAGCACTGCTTCTGTGCCCTCTGCCGGGGAGCAGTGCCAAGGCAGGGTCCTGGTGGAGGAGCTCAGGCCTGCCTGCGCCCCCGAGATGCTGGCACAGGGGTGTCTCTCACACTGCATGTCCCATGCCAGCCCCCACAGGGGTAATGACGCCCTGTGAAGACCATCTCCCAGGCCGCAGTGGTGACTGCCTTTCCTCTGAGGGGTTAAGCCTGCAGATGAGGCTGAGGTGGCGGTGCCCAGAACCCCACGGGACTGGAGGAGAAGGGTAGATCTCTCTCCTCTCCTCCCTCCAGAGATTCCAGGGTGGAGCAGATCAAGGTCTCCAAGACCCTGCCCCACAGATGGCCAGCCTTCCCTACTCACCTCCGCATTGCCCCGTCCCCACCCCCATAATGACAGAGTCAGAGCTGAGTTTTAAGTGTCCCAAGGGAAAGCAGCAGGAGGATGGGATGAGGAAGCACGCAGTGGTCACTCCCCACCTCTAGTCCCCGTCCGGACTCTTTGGCACCCAAAGACCTCAAGGAACCAGAGGTCAGAGCATCTGCCAAGATTCTCTCCTGAAGGTGACCGACTGATGTGCTGTTCTTCCAGGCTCAGCAATGGTGGGATTTTTCAGGCACAGTGACCTCCACCCACCCCCATCCTCCACATACACACACACAACCATGTACCCCAGCAGTGCCTGAGCTCACCTCCTCACAGTCAGAGGCAGACTCTCAGCAACAATCAACAGAAATTTAGTGAGAACATGTGTTGGGGGTTGGGGGAGGATGATGGGGTCTTCTCTGTTCATGGGAGAAGAGGTGGAGCAGCCCCATCTTGCAGGGTACATTGGTGCCCTCCCAAACATCTCAGAGCTGGCCGTCCAGGCCCATGCTGGTACCCCAGGGTGCAGACTCCTCCACTGCTCAGAGCAGCCCATTCCGCTGCTGGGCACCTCCAACTGTTCACATTTTCCTCCTGGCAGCCTCTAACGTATAATGGGAGGTGAGGGGTGGACATGTCACTCCAGACCAGCCCTTGAGACAAGAGAAGCAACTGGCATGGAACAAGGGTAGAAAAGCAATAATTTAAAGCCAAGAACTGCCAGAGGTGTGGCAGAATGGGCGAGGGTGCTCCAGGGCTCCTGAGAGTCTCTGGCTTGACCCAGGAGGCACTGGGGAGGTAGCTGATGACAGGGTTCCAGGCAGGAGGTGAATCAGAAGGTGGAGTTGTCGATGCCTCTGCGTAGCCCGGCATATTCCTCAGGCCTGAAGCTGTAGGGTGGGGGCGGCTCCAAGGGAGGCAGACCCAGGACAGGCTTCAGAATTATCTGCAGGGAAAGAAGGGGACACAGTGACTTCTTAGGTCAGGCCACTGGTCATCACCACCTGTGTGCTGGTGGAGGCATGTTTACCAGGGAGAAGAGTGACCCCACGCTGGTGGCAGAGCCCTCCCCAGGGCCCAGAGACATGGTGTAAGGACACTCTTCACTGCCCCAGTTGCTCTAAAAATCAGAAAAAGGAGGTACAGACAGCTGAGGGACAGAGCAGGGGTCGGGATGGATACCCACCTCACTGTAGGGGGGTGGGGGCTCAGAAACGGGTGCTGTGACCCTCTCTACAGGAGCAATGGGGGGCTGTTCCGGGGGGGCTGTTGGGGCCTCCTGCTCTGACTTTCTGCAGTTGAGATACAAGTGCTTAGCCAGGCCGCAGATGCACAAGAGGGGTATGATGATCAGGAAGATGATGACAAAAATCCTGGGGTAAGGAACCACCAACATCAGGCCGAGTCTCCAGTCACCCCACACCGCCCTCCCTCCCTTGACCTACCCCCACCCTTCACAGCAGGAAGTCCAGTCCAGTCCTGTGTAGGCCAGACCCATCAGAGGACTGTGCCCAGAGGAACTGGCCCAGGGCTCACCTTAAGGGACCGGAGAAGAACTCGAACTGCTCCGGCTGGTACTCTTGGCAACAGCTGCTCCCACAGCATTTGAATCCCTTAGGGCAGGTGCTGGGAGTGGGGTGGGATAGAGGCTCTTGGTACCAAGGCGGGGGCAGGGGAGGAGGGTAGAAGGATCCTAGCTTCCCTAAAAGCCACCCGCGTGCTCAGGGCACAAGCCACACCTTTGGCAGAGCAGGGTTAGTGCTGCCCCACTAGGCTCCTCTGGGCTTAGTGGGAGGAACCTAGGGCTGGGATTGAGACCTGGGTTTCAGGTTCAGCTCACTACTGGCCTTGTGCACTCCTGCCAAGGTTCATTCCTTCCTGGGCCTCACTTTCCTCATCTATAAAATGGGTGTAATGAATGTCCTGTTGACCTTACTGGACAGGTGTGGGATTGAGTGTTGTAGTGGTTACAGCATCACTCTAAAGAGATGCAGGGGGAGAGGGGCAGTGGGGAGGGGCCAGGAGCGAACTCTAAGAGTGAATGGCGAGATGATGGGGCCCACAGAACAGGAGGCAAGAGGGAATCAGTGTTCCTGGAACATCCAGGGCGGACTTGGTAGAAACACTTTGCTGCCCAGAGATCACCCCCCTCAGCCCCTCCTCATTATGGGGAGTGACCCCCAAGTGTGAAACTGCCCATGGGTTGGTTGGTAGAAGGAGTGAGGGGGTAGAAGAGTGGACTCCCCTTCTCTGGTTGGGGGTGGGGATGGTTTCTGGCTAGAAGGGGAGTGGGTGAGGATGATGAAGGCAGGCAGGGCAGGATTTGGGGTGTCTCCTCCCCACAATGGAAGTTACAGCCCAAACCCCAGACTTACAAGAAGAGACCACATGTGGCTGCAGCCTGTGGAAGAGAAGAGGCAAAGGTTTGGGTCATAAACTGGGGGCTGGGGTTTCCACCCAGCTGCTACCCAGGTACCTCACAGCCCCAGAGGATCAGCACTTTTCCTCAAGCCTGCTTTCCACCTCACTCCACATCTTCCCTGGGTCAATGGTTCAGCCCTAGCTGCCACCTGGTGGCCCTAGCTCCCCCTTCCTCTTCTCATCACACCTCCTACCACGTTTGCTCATCCCTAGGTCTGTAAGCTCACACCACTAACCCACCCTTCCAGCCCACCCCCATCACAGCCCCCCACCGAAGTCACTCCCAACACCTTGGCAAGTTCCTATCCCACAAGTCCGATCACCAGAAACCTTGCAGGAAGCTTCCCTCAGTGGCTCCCTGGGTCCCAGATGCCAGGACCAACCCGCCACCCACTGGGAGTTTCCCGGCTGCAGGGGCAGACCCTTGTCCCTGAGCCTTCAGGGCCCACTGAACTCCCAGTCATCCTTCAGACCCAGCCTGGGCCTTCCTGGCTCTGAGAAGTGCTGGACCCTCCTCTCCAGAAACAGCGCCCCCTCCCTCCCTCTTCTGCACTAGTTCTGCGCCACGTGGTGGCTATCATTTTAGAAATTCACCTGATTAACATAAAAATATGTGTAAAAGCCCTGCTTGGAGTGCTCTTTTCCCAGGAATCTGAGAGGCTGGCTCCAGCACCTTCTCTGACCATCTTTAAAATTATATCTCCTCTTACAAAGCACTTCTTTTCCCCTAACTGTGCTTACGTTCTCAGCATAGCTCCTGTCAACATCTAACATACTACGTATTTTACTTTATCTTGCTAGTTGTTTGTCTCCTCAGTAGAAAACTCCACCAGGGAAGGGATTTTTTCTGTTGAAAACCAATACTCACGATTTTGGCAGAATGAATGAAAGAACATTCATTGACAACCTGGTTTCATTTCATCCTGGTTGCTCCCAGGTAGTGGGGGGAGGAAGGAAAGCAAGCAGAGGAACACAGCTAAAGGGAGGTTATCTGCCACCCCATCCCAGCCTCCAGGGGGATAAAAAACCACAGCTCAAGAACAAGGAGCCAACGCTTTTTTATGAGACCACCATATCTCTTTCTTTTGGGGTTGGGGGAGGGTCACGCAGCATATAGGGATCTTAGTTCCCTGACCAGGGCTTGAACCTGTGCCCCTTGCAGTGCAAGTTGGAAGTCTTAACTACTGGACCACCAGGGAAGTCCCAAGACCATGATATCTTTATATCTTGAAATAACAGTTCAATTGCTAACGACAACAACAACAATGAAGCTTAGAATACCAATGACAGCCAATAACAGTTGGGTTGATTCCCCCTTTTCTGTGCTCAGTCCCATGTGCACACCTCCTTCTCTCAAGCCTTGGCCAGTAGGGTCAGGAGCAGGAAAGAACCCCTGCAAGTTGGCCCAGAGAGGGTGAGGTGATGGCAGAGATGGACCAAGGAGTCCAGGCACTCAGCATACCCACTTCCCCTCATCCTAGCCCCTGTGCCTCCCCCTCTCCTGGCCCCCAACTGAGAAAAAGACAGCAGATTTAATGAATTAATCTTGAGCTCCTGTTTGGAGGAGCAGGGGATCCTCTCCCAGATTCTCTCCCCTTCAGCCACTTCTTAAACAGGGGGTGATCTTCACTGAGGTGGTATCAATGTTGGGGCAATTCTAGGCAACTTCAACTTAATTTACATGTGAACAGAGGGCATTAACAGCCTGCCCCATGGAGTTGTTGGGAGAAATCAACAAGAGGATGCACAGCCTAGTGCTGGCACAAACCCACTGCATGTGATGGAGAAGGAGTAGCAGGGCTTTTGGGGTGAAGTCGCTGCACAGTTATTGAATGTTGTGGGGGAACTGGTCTGGCCCTTCCCTCAGACTCTCATAGAGGTTAAAAATCCATATTCTAGAGCCATGTCAGTTTCCAGGATAATCTCCCATCCCAGAACCAGATAGACTGCCCTTCCCCCAGGCTGGGGGGAGAGAAGAATGTGGGGGTGCTGACACCCTGCCTTACTCTTGGAAATCACAGATTTCAGAGATCATCCCTGCCTTGGGTCAGGCAGCCAGATCAAATCCTATCACCTGCTAGAATCCTCCCCCCACTCCTAGAAAGGGAAGAGGGAGCCTCCTTTTCTCTAGGGCACAAGCACAGATACACAGTCCCAGAGAGGGCCAGGACTTCCCCCAAGGTCACCCAACACTGGCAAGAATGGAGCTGGGGAGACAAGCTGGCGAGACGTCCAGATCTCAGTCCAGACCTCAGGTTCCCGCTTTCTGACGCTGCGGGAAGGAGCCAGAAGGGCGAGTCAAGGCTAACACTCTGAGAGAGGCGCTAGATGTCAGACAGCGGTGTGCGGGAATAGGTCCCACGACACAGTTCCCCACTAGGTGAAGGAACCCAGACCTTCTCAGGACCTCCCACCGCGTCTTCTACCTATTACTTCCCCGGCGAAAAAGAGAAAGGAGTTGCTAACTGCCTGTGGTCACGAGGAGATCCTGACAATGGAAGGTGGTGATCGGGAGTCAGAAGCAAGCCCCTGACCTATAAGAATAGGGGCTTGAAAGTTCCACAGTTTTACCTCCCAAGCGCTCACCTGTTGGAGGCTGGCCAGCAGGCCAAGCAGCAAGAGGCTGGCGACCCAGGTGTCAGACATTCTTGCTTGGGGGCCACTGAGCTTCCTTGTGTAGGGGAAGGAGGAGAGAGGCGGGGCCGCGACCTCTCCCACGACTCTCCACCTATAGGGCCCCACCTCGGGATGGGGGCGGAGCTAATGCACCCGGGAAGGGCCCGACCCGGGAAAAGGAGGGGGAGGAGGAAGAAGTCTGGATTGGGAAATGGGAGTTAGAAAAGATAATCTGATTTTAAGAATATATATATTGTGCTGTCAGTTCAAGACTGCTGAGCTACCCCTTCCCAACCCCTAACTGCTCCACCCTCTAAGAGGTCCCAAGCTTGAGATGGAGAGGGGCTGCAGGCCGAGCGAGCGGGACCCCTGGAAGTCCCTCCCTTCCCACGCGGATTTCTGGGGGGCAGAGGGAGAGCGGAAGCGAAGGCCTTGGAGTGGATTGAGGGGATTGTAACGGAGGGAGGTGCCACTTTTTGTTTTGTTTTGTTTTGCCGAGAAGAGACGGAGGGGCGGCCTGCTTGATTTCTGGGGAAGGAGAACCAGGAGTAGAGAACTGGTACAGTTTTGCCCCGCCCCCACCCTCCTTGAAATCCAGGGAGGAGGCGTTGGTACATTTCCTCCATTTGACTACAGGGGAAATTGAGGCCCCGGGATTCTGAAACTAGTCCCTGAGTTCGTAGAGCTGAGTCCGCAGAGCCAGGCGAGCCGGGGCGCGGGCGAGCAGGCCCACCCGGATTCCTAGAAAGATCCCCCGAGGCCGCGGTCCTGGCCTGCGGGGGCTGGATTCCGACCCGCCAGCACGCCCAGCCCGGAGGCGCGTTGTGCTTTCCAGATCCGGCCGGCAGGTGGCAGCATCGCTCAACGCGGGATTTCCAGGAGCCAGGCGGAGCGGGGCGGGGACCTGGGCTGGGTCTCCCCGAACTCTCTCCCCGGGGGACCAGGCTGGAGGGTCGGGTGGGAGACCGTCTCGGTGGGCGATCGGCAGAGGGGAGAGCCAGACGCCCAAACACAGATGAGACGTAAGGAAACTTTGCGGGAGTTGGAGAGATGGAGCCCGGTCCCCTGGGGTAGGGGCTAAATGGAGATGGTCTTTGGGGTGTCGTTCCTAGACCTGGGGAAAGGGGGAGGGGTCCTGGAGAGGATCAGTTCTTAGGTGTTTAGAAGTTCCTGCTGTGTCTCAAGTCTGACTTCGCCCCTGAAAACTAGCCCCAACCTAGTAGGAAAGGACAGCCGTCCTCCTTTGGCTTGTCCTTTTTTCTCTCCAGGCTTTCTCCTTATCTGTTTCTCGTCTCTCCCAGTCCAGTTATCTCTGTCTTCTGTTGAACCCCTCCTTGCTCTGCCTTGTTTCTCCCAGTTTCTGTCTGCCTGTTTCAGTTTCTCCCTGTCTGTCTCCATGCAGTTTCTCTCCATTTCTCCGCGTTCCCTGTTTTCCCATCTCTGTTTCTCCTCTTTGTTAATCTCTGTCTGTCTTAGTGGAGGAGTCTGTTTTTCTGTCTGTTTCCATTTCCCTTGCCTCTGGTTTGGTCCTGTGTCTGTGTCTCACTGACTCTCCTGATCTCTCTCGGTGTATCTCTCTCTCCTTGGTCTCTTTTCTCTGTCTCTGTTTCTCATTATCTCTTGGCCCCGAAGGACAGAATCTTCCAGTCTCTGATCCAAGTGGAATTGGGGTCTGGCCCCAGAGAATGCCGTCTCTATTTGCAGTTCCTGTTGATTGATCTTGGAGAAGGGAATGGGGAGTGGGGGCATGGAGCAGCGTGTCTTTCCTCCTCCCCCAGCAGTTGGCTATGGACCTAGCCCACTCCTCGGCCAAAGGAGACTTAGTGCAGAGGGTTCTGGAGCCTTCTCCCCCCAGCACCCACGCTGCTGCTTCCTTAGTGAGTTGTTGCTAACTTGGGCATCCAGGGCCCTGTTGCTCCAACACCCAAGACCTGAGGTATCTGCCGGGAACCTCCTGCCGCTCTGCCCAGGCCTGGAGCCTGACAGAGGTGTAGCGTTTAGGATAGAGGAAGATGGGTGAGCTTAGGCAGAAGGGTATCCTAGGGAGTGGAATGAGGATGCTAAGAAGGGCATGCAGGACCTTCACGGGTAGACGTAGGAGGCTGAAACGGTGAAGGGACCAGGCAGGTTGGCCCCCTGAGGAGAAGCAGGAGGAGGGCAGGAGGGTGGGATTGCTTCCCTCTGGTGTCCACTGACACAGATGTAGGATTGCCAGACAAAGTACAGGATGCCAGTTAAATTTGAATTCTACACTAACAGTGAATAGCGTTTTAGGATAAATAAATATGTCCCATGCAATATTTGGGACACGCTTAAACTAAAATTTAGTTGTTATCTGAAATTCTAATTTAACTGAGTGTCCTGTATTTTTATTTCTTAAATCCAGCAACATTACCCACATCCCTGGTATGCTGTAGGAGAATATCTGCTCTACTCCCTGCCCCGTGTCTCCCCAGTGGGAAAGTGAGGCTCCTGGGCAGAGTCTAAGTCTAGAGGGCCTCTGGAATCTGCTTCTGGATCCCCAGTGTTTTTTCATGACATCAGACTTCCTTTCTATGCTCCTTCCGGCAGATGGGGATGGGCTGAGCGGCCTGGAGGTGGGCGGTCCCAGCTCGGGCCAAGAACACCAGGCCCTGTGGTCAGCAGGCACCGTGGCTCCAAGGGCCCCAGCATTCCTTGTGGGTGAGGTCAGTGGGGGTGGAAGCCCAGTGGGGCCCCAGACTGAGCAGACAGGGGCCTGGTCTTGTCTAGAGGCAGGAGGGTCGTGGACAATGACAACACCTTCTGTTCAACACTCTGGCAGTGGGTGGGCAGTGCGGGCATGTGTGTGCACGTGTGCTCAGACATACAGGGGCATGAGGGCAGGGAGGCCCAGAAGCCTCAGGCAGACAGTGGGTCCTTCTAGAGTCCATGCCAGATTCCATCTGGGGCTTCCCAAGAGCAGCACAGTTGCAGTGTCTTACTACTGGCTCGAGCCTCCCCGGCCCATTTGCTAAAGAAGGAGCTGATTGTGCGCCCAACAAGGGCCCGGCTTGAAGGGCCTCGGAGGTCAGCTGGTCCACCCGCTCAATTCTCCGAGAAGGCAGCTGAAGCCCAGAGGGGTAGAAAGGCCAAGTCATAGGGGACACTGGGGCTGAGTCAGGACCCAACTATGCAGGTCTTAAGACCCCACACCCAGCCGCAGTCTCGGGGTGGCACACACGTCAGGCCTGGGGAGCCTCTGCCAAGGCTGGAGGAACTCACTGGGAGCTGCAGTGGGAGGCCCTGTGCAGCCTGGCTCAGCCGGGCCCCAGGCAGGCTCTGGGTAAGAGGCAAGAGCCAGACTGAGTTCTGTTCCTCTCTCCTCCCTCCCCATCATACTGTGGTGGACATTGATCCCCATAAATGACATGGCCCTGGGTAGGGATCTTTCTTTCAGAAATACCCAGAATGTTCTGTCCTAACCCAGCTCTTGGAAGAAAAGTTATGACCAATCTAGACAGCATATTAAAAAGCATGGACGTTACTTTGCCAACAAAGTTCTGTCTAGTCAAAGCTATGGTTTTTCCAGTAGTCATGTATGGATATGAGAATTGGACTATGAAGAAAGCTGAGTGCCGAAGAATTGATGCTTTTGAACTGTGGTGTTGGAGAAGACTCTTAAGAGTCCCTTGGACTGCAAGGACATCCAACCAGTCCATCCTAAAGGAAATCAGTCCTGAATATTCATTGGAAGGACTGATGCTGAAGCTGAAACTCCAATACTTTGGCCACCTGATGTGAAGAATTGACTCATTTGAAGAGACCCTGATGCTGGGAAAGATTGAAGGCAGGAGGAGAAGGGGACGGCAGAGGATGAGATGGTTGGATGGCATCACTGACTCAGTGGACATGAGTTTGAGTAAACTCTGGGAGTTAGTGATGGACAGGGAGGCATTGTGTGCTGCAGTTCAAGGGGTCACAAAGAGTCGGACAGAACTGAGCAACTGAACTGAACTGAACTGAACCCAGCTCTGTCTATAGGGACAGTAATATGTTGTGTTAATAAGTGTGGCACTTGTTAGGGTGTGTTGTGTGACTTTAGTCAAGAAACTTCTCTGTGCCTTTCTACACTTATCTGTGAAGGGGGTGTGGGGGCGGACAACAGTACCCCTTTTGTCACATAGGATCACTGTGAGGATGAAATAAGCCACTCAGTATCTGGCATACAGTAATGGTAAATCAATATTACCTTGATAGGGAATTCCTTGGTGGTCCAGCAGCTAAGAGTCTGCACTCCCAATACAGGGGGCCTGGGTTCCATCCCTGGTCGGGGCACTAGATCCCACGTGCCACAACTAAGACCCTATGCAGCCAAATGAAAATATTTTAAAAGATTTCCTTAATAACAATATGCTACAATAACCAAGACATGGAAGTAATCTAAGTGTCTATAGATAGATGAATGGATAAGGAAGAGGTGGTATTATCAGCTATAAAAAAAGAATGACAACAAAAAAGTGTACCCCCCAAAAAAGAATGAAATAATGCCATTTGCAGCATAATAGAGGGACCTAGAGATTATTATACTAAATCAGACAGAGAAGGATAAATGATATGTGAACTCTAAAAAATGATACAAATGAACTTATTTACAAAACAGAAATAGACTCACAGACAGAAAACAAACGTGGTTACCAAAGGGTTGGGGGCAGGGGAGAGAGACAAATAGGAGTCTGGGATACACGCTACTGTGTATAAACTCGGCAAACAAGAACCTACTGTGCAGCACAGGGAACTATACTCAATATCTTGTACTAACCTGTGATGGAAAAGAATCTGAAAAAGAATATATATGAATCACTTTGCTATACACTTGGAACTAACATAACATTGTAAATTAGCTATTAGTCAGTAAGTATGTTAGTTGCTCAGTCGTGTCAGACTCTTTGTGACCCCATGGACTGTAGCCTGCCAGGCTTCTCCGTCCATGGAATTCTCCAGGCAAGATTACTGGAGTGGGTAGCCATTACTTCTACAGGGGATCTTCCTGATCCAGGGATCTAACCTGGGTTTCC